AACAGACGCCGCATGTTTTATTCACCTGGGCAATGTCACAGCAACTCGCCCCAGCGCCCCCCTCTCTCTACAGAAAGAAAGGTGAGAGACAGAGAAAGAGAGGGAGGGAGCGGGAGAAGCGAAAACAGCTGAAAATGAAAACAAAGTGAACTCTAGTCTGAAATCGACTCGAGCACAAGTCCAAAGCAAATAATAACAAGCAAAAACAGCTAGAAAATGTTCTAGAATATATGGTCTAGAAGCAGAGATACCCTGTAATGTGAGTTCAAGCTATTGTTTAGCTCTTGCGCCTTAAATATATCATGAATATATCTCATATTCATGAGCATGAGCATTTATATGCATGAGCATATTTGATGTTGAGATACCCTGTAAATAGGCTATACAGACATTGGTTTCAACTTCGCTTCTTTATGGCTTTCGCATTTGTAAATCTAATCAGCTTTTAGTTTATTTATTTATTTATTTTTTTAATGATTTTTTTGCACTTATGTCTACATAGGGATACCCTGTAAATAGATTATGTGAAGTTATTGTGTGTGTTTTTTTTTCTCTCATGCAATTTTTTAAACATTTTGATGGCTTTTTGGTTGTTGTGGCTAATTTTATTATATAGTCTACAAAGAGCCTATAGTCTACCCTATATAAAACATTTTGTGTATAAGAATATTTGATTATGCTTAGTTTTGTACAGATATAGACGAGGCAATACTCTATAAGCGCATCACTTTGTAAACATATACATATATACCTATTAGCAGCATATACCTTCTAAATATTTCACTAGTTCTACAGGGTATACAGTTTTAAATAGTTTCAATTTCTGTTGCCGCTTCGCAGGTGCTAAAAGTAAAAAAAAAAAGAAAATTGCAAAAAAAATGTGGCAGCAACAGTGTCGCAGTTGGCGACGCCGTTGGCGTCGACGTCGCTGCCAGCAGGTTGAGCATGAAAATGACACAATTCGCTCAAAGCGGCGAATTAACGGCGCTGCGCGGCCGGCGAATCGCAGCTAGGCAAATCGCGATGCTCGCCTCGCAATCGCAATTGGCTCTCGGCCACTTGGATGTGCAACCGAATTGAATTGAAACGGAATTGAAATGAAATTGAAATGAAATTGAAATGGCTATAAATAACAGCTGACGTCGAGAAGAGACTCGAGCGCGGCACACACGATCAATTAAGAGGGCAGTGCAAAACGGTTTCCTCGACGAATTGAACTGATTGTCAATGTCAAATGTCAGTTAAATTGCGAAACGGCCGACGCCAGATGGCGTGCTCTGCTGCATGTCGCTGGCGACAGGTGTCGCTGCTGCAGTGAACCAAAGATTTTATTGCACGCCTGCTTATCGTTTGACATTCTTGGCTTACGCTTTTGATAAGTTGCAAGCGGCTGGCCGATTGCGGCTTTATCGCATGAGCAATGCGTAAATGGGGTCTGGGCAAGCGGTTTATCACTCGAGTGGGTAGATAAATAAGGAATTATGTCAGAGGCAGAGAGGGTAACATTTAAGAGCGTGACCATAGCAGGCAGCATGCAAGATATGCTTAGTTAAAAGCTAAAGAATCAGTAAAATGTTATTAAAATGATTAAAATATATATCTAAGATTTCATATAGACCCGATTCTAATTCAATTAAGTAGAAATAGTAAGAATGACACAGAAGAGATTGCTTACAAAACTCAGTAAAATTTTATTTCTAAAATAAATGTATATTTAAAACAGCCAGTGAAACGTTTACGAAAATGTAGCATCAGCAAAATATGAGAAATTTATTAGTAACTAACAGAGGTAAATACGAGAGGTAAATAAAAAGTCAACTACACTTAAATTATTGGCTACTCCAGCTCAGTGCAGCCAGTGAAACATTTACGAATGTGGGAATAAGCAATAATACAGAATCCTACACAGTGTTAACAAAATCAGTTACTTCCACTTCAATTGAAATCTACTCAAAACAAGGTCACAGCGCACCCACCCACACTGACTGTGCCCCCCTCCTCCCACTCCTCCCTCTCCTCCCGTGCTGCATTGCATCCTCTTCCGTTAACGTCGAATCGTTCGCTTCCTTTGCTATGGGGCACACTTGTTCGTGTCTTGCGGCATTTGGCTCAATTAAATTTGAATCAATTTTAATTGCAATAGCAAAAAGATTTTTGTTTTCATTTTCGTTTTCAATTTTTGAAGTTTTGTTTTTGTTTTTGTTGCTTTTTTTTTTTGGCAACAACAATTATAATGCATAGAAGAAATATACAAAATATCGGCGACCTCCAAAGCTGACACGACAGCTAGCAAAAAATAACCGAAAAAAAAAAACAAAACAAAAAACAATTAAATAAAAAATAATAATTTATCAGCATTCGCAGCGAACTCGCATCAGCCAAATCTCGCACATGTCACGTCATCAGGCGCAGCAGCAGCAGCAGAAGCAGCGGCTGGCGGCTGCGCAGTCGACGTCGACAACAGGTTGCGACGAGGTGCGACGACAGCGACGGCGAAGGCGGCGAATTCAACTGGTTATCACAAGCCGCTTTATAGAAATTACGTCATCTGGCAAATGTCGCTTGACGGCAAAGCGGCGTTTCGAGATGCTGACGCCGACGCCGACTGAGGCCGAGGCAGAGCAATTGCCACGCGAAAAGTTGTTCCTGGGCGAAAAGCTTTCGTTTCGCCTTGAAAGCTTTACTCGGCCTTTCGCTTTGACCATGACAGCTCAGAGTTTTAGCTTGAACCAAATTTAAACTTATTTAAATTGATTTATTTATTTGTTGAGTGAAAGTTCCGCTCTTGCTGTTGATTTCTCTAATTCCTTTTCCAGCTAAAATCCGAAATCACAAATCGAATCTCATATATCTTCAGTTAGAATTTCATAAATTTAGTCAGCGGCCTTAGTGCACTGCTTATCATGTCTGCCTGTCAAATTTGACAGTTAGTTAACAGCCAGTTTGTTTTATTAGCATTTGATTGCAGCTCGACGTCAAAGTTCATATGAAAATGTTTCCGAAACTTATGAAGTGCATGTCAAAACTGACTGATATTTGCATGTCAGAACTTAACAAAAGCTTTTGACTAAGTATAAATAATAATAAAAATAAGTATAATTAACACTATTATATATACATGTATATGTATATTGAGGTTCGCTTTAGTAGTCAACAGTTAAATGCTGCGAAGTTAAAGGCCTACCGGAAATTATATAGATCATATATATATATACTTATTGAAGGCCATGAATATCCTTAACGGAAATTGGTGAAAGGTTAGACAAGACTTTTGCTTATTAGTAAAATAAATTTAAAATACAATTTATTATCGGAATATATATATAATATTTGTTGTAGAAGTCTGCAAGCTAAAGCTGATTTTACTTAGTATACAGATAAATAAATATACGAATATAAATATGTATATTCCAAACACTTTAAGATCTTGGAGAAAGATATAGAAAAAGTGAAGCAGTTAGCATTGAACTTGGGGCTTATTTAGTAAACAATTATGGGAAATAAGAACATAACAAAGAAAACAAAACTATATACAATATATATAAATATTTATATGACTTTAGGAATGATTTCAACTGATATAACTTTCAAGTTCATTAGCTTTATATAAATCCACTGGAACTTTACGCTTTAACTAAATGATATGACAAGCAACTAGAGATAGTACGAATTACAAATTTGATTTATGATGTTCAGAGTCGGTTGTATATATATCTATATACATGCATACAGCTATCTATATATATATATATATATATATATATATTGTGTATATGAAGTTCCTTAATCTAAACAAAAATTCTTTTTGCTATAAGCATCTAAATTTAAAACAGTTAACAAAGCATTTGTTATTGTTGCCGTTGCTTTGCTCTATTGTTGTTAATTTTGGCATATTTTCCGTTTTCGATTGTGTTGAGGTTTGGTGGGTGATATCACCGCGCACCACCACCACCAACACCAGGAAAGCCAGCGAAACCAGCGAAACCTTTTGTCAATTTTGTTTGCTGAGCAAATTTTTTGAGCTGAGCAAATCTGTCGATTTTAATTAACTTACAGATAATCAGCAAAGTAATGACAATGACAATCATAATCATAATAATGGTAATGAATAATGAATGGAAATACATATATGTATATGCATATGTGTATGGAAATTTCGAATCTGTTGACAAATTGCGAATTTCTGGTGCTTGAATGCAAATTCAGTCAACTGCAGCAACTAGCAAACAATTTGTATACCCTGTAGTTGATGAGAGTGCAGGGTATATCAGCTTAGCTATGGAAAGTGTATGTAAATAAAATGCAGGGACTAAATATGTTTAAAGGGATTACATATAGGACTAATTCGAATCCGTTTTTCAGAAAGATATGTCTATATAGATCTCTCTATATGATCTATAAATAAAATTATATACATCTATCTATCTGTCTACCTGAGATTTTTGAAAATATTTTTTAAAGTAAAACCGAGCTATGCTGTTATCATGGAATATAGAACTATCCCAACTATCTTAACTCGAGAGCTACTTAAGCTAATGCCATGAAATTTGTTGCACAGATGACTTGCTAGATAAATCTGGAAATAAAATATTATTCATAAGTATTAGCAAAGTTATATATAGACGATACTCTGTCGACTTTATGATATAGTGACAGAACTTTTTAGGAATCACTCAGGCAAATTATAGTGAAATTTCTGAATGTGGGCTAAACTAATGCAAATATACATACATATATATATATATATATATGTGAATGTGAGTCAGTTGAAGTAAGTTTTTTTATTATTATTTTATGTACGCCAGCTAATTGGCGATCGAGACGAGGCGTCAAACGCGTCCATAAAAGGCGCAGTTTCGCCTCAATGTGAACAGCGCGTGGGCCACAGTGAGCCGGTTCAATTAGCCCAAGGACGTGTCGCTCTCTCTCTCCCTCCCTCTCTCTCTCTCTCTCTCTCTCTCTTTATAATATGTACTCTATATATACTCGATATCTTGCAGTGGCAGCAATCGGAGGATAGCGAACGCAAGAGGCAAATCCGTTCGCATCTTTACAAGTTGCGTGAATCGCGTTTGAGAAATCTCTATAGACACGAACCGGATAATCTAACGTTTGCGATGTCGGAACCGAACGGCAATACTCTATCTGGATATGCTGGCAAGGATCCGCTGGCCACCAGCCACGGCGATGCGCTGCTCGATCAGAACTTTCAGAGTCTCAAGTCGAAGGAGGTGCGCGACTCGATGAGTCCCACGCACGAGCTCAAATTCCATTCGATGAGTCTGACCCAACCGAATAGCACCGGCTGGGATGTGCAGACCTCGTCGGAGGTGAGTCCCGATGGACGTGCCTATCGCACCGAAACTCTGGCCAAAACTGATGGTAAGCTGAATCATTCTCAATTTTCGATACAGTAATACCCTGTACCCAGTGTAAATAGCTATCAATGGAGATCTAAACATGTCCGATTGCATAGAGCGGCACCATCTGTGTATCGTGCCGAGTAAATGAATCGATATCGATAGTTGTCGATAGATATTGCTTATTGTACTGCATTCAGTTAGCTATTTTGGAGATGCTATGGGCTTTACGCTCATATAAAGATTCTAATAAATATCGATAGCTATCGATATGAGCTCACAGAGTCTCAGGTTTTCTTATATTTAGGAAATGAGTTCTTAGGGAGTTAGAAAAGTCAAATACTCTTAGCTCAAGTAAAGCTCATTACAGGGTATATTGAGTCAATAGAGCTCCATAGAATTGATTGATGGCAAAAGCATAACGCATATGTGTGTATATCGATATATATAACTAATTCAAGATATATACATATATGTGTGTAGCTGGGTACAGGGTGTCTGCTAGTCGGTCACCCACGACTTCTAACGTCAATGTGTTTAACTCTGTGTGTAACTCCTACTCTGTTTGTTTGTATGTCTCTGTGCCGTGATCAACCAAAAAACCTAACTCAAACCACCAACTCGAACTCGAACTCGAACTCGAACCACCACGATCCACTCATGCGATAGGTGTTGAGAAGCTGAATGGTGGCGGCATTGCCGAGTTCAAGGGTCGCAACGAGCAGCGCTCGAGCGCCTCACATCAGGGCGACGATAAGAACTACGTGAAGCAGGCGGCGGAGAGCTCCAATACCCATCTGCAGGAGAAGGTTGTCTTTGGCGATGAGAGCAACGGTGGGCGTACCGAAATGAAAATGAGCTCCACCTCGTCCTCATCGACCTCCAAGTTCGTGTCCTCCTCGACGGTTGAGTACGGCGATGATGATGTCGCTCAGCCGCGCTATCTGCTGGACAACCAGAGCACAAATCGCCAGCAGCATGAGCTGAGGGAGCAGCGAGAACAGCGTGAGGTGCGTGAGCAGCGTGAGTTGCGTGAGCAGCGTGAAATACGTGAGCAGCGCGATCGTGAGGAGCAGCGTGTGCAGGAGGAACGATTCCAGGAGCATCGACTGCAACAGCAGCAGGAGCAGAGAGAGCAGAGGGAGCAGAGGGAGGAGCGCTTCTCCGAGAGCCGTGAGCAATTGAAGAGCACACGCAACGTGGAGACACAGCAGCATTACGAGGAGAACAAGCGCTATGTGGATATGGATAAGGCATCGCCGGAATATCAACGGCATGTGCAGCACCTGATGTCACAGCCAGGTGAGATCATCTCCAATACGGTTGAGTATCCCAAGCCCAATGTCAAAATGATCACCACGGTCAAGCGTCTGCCCGACGGCACAATTGTCAAGAACAAGCGCTACGAAACTGAGCAGGTAACTCCCACGGCGGACTCTGTCCGCCAGAGCCAGGCCCAGACCCAGACACAGACGCAGACTCAGAATAACCAGCGACGCGTGCAGGAGACACGCGACGTGGTGGACAACGCTGAGCCGTTGGTGCGTCGTCCCTCCGAGACGGCCGAGGAGCTCGTCAAGCAGGAGAGCTACTCGACTGTGAAGAAATCAAGTCGTCGCTACTCCACTGAGACCACATCGGAAACCGTGCAGGAGTACGATGATCGAGCACCGCAACCGTCCGGCCGTCCGGATGTCCCTCCATCCCCAAGGGCAACGAATCCCATACAGGAGTTCCCCAACCACCGTCCCAACACGCCGAATCGCCCAAGCGACTTCTCGACACACGGCTTCCCGTCGGTGCGTACCAACAAGCCCACGCAGGAGTTTGCCGGCCAGCGACCCACCACCGAGGAGTACGTGGTGGTGAAGTCGGAGAAGAGTCGCAACGTCAAGCAGAGCAGCAGCACCACCTCGCAGCGCACCGTCGAAACGGAATTCGAGCCCAGCTGGGAGCAGCCACAGAGTCCGCGACGTCCGACGCACGTCGAGGATTTTAGCACACATGGCTTCCCCTCGGTGCGCACAGATCAGCCGGACGCCGAGCTGCCCTCCAGCGCGAGTCGCCGACCGGAGCGCATCATTGAAACGCAGGTGGAGCGCGAGCGTCGTCCACAGCAGGTGAACGCCAGTCCAAGGCGGCCGCAGGACAGTCCGACCAAGTCGCCGACTCGCAAGCCCAACGCTGCCACACGCACACCACCCAGCCGGAGCACCACTGAGACCACAACCACCACCAACACAGTGACGCGCCGTCAGTTGCAGAAGGAGCGCGAAGTGGATGCAGCGCATCGTGCGTTTGCTGCCTCCCTGCGCAGCAGCTCGCCAGCCGACAGTGTTGGCTCCACGGGCTCCCATCACCATCCACGCCGTGACAGCGGCCAGACGCCGGAGCCACATCCGCAGCGTCAGGCGCCGCGCTGGAGCATCTCGTCGAGCAGCACCAATCGACGGTCTGGACGCGAGGGCAGCCACGACAGCCATGCGCCCTCCGAGTCGAGTCGCATCAGCTCCACCACGGTCACACGACATGTGGGCGTGCCCAAGACCATTGCCAAGACAACCGTTAGCAAGCAGCAGCAGCAGCAGCAGCAGCAAACTGTTGTCAAGACACGCAGCGTGCAGGGGTCGAATGAGACAATTGATCTAACGCCGCAGCGTTTGCCCAAATCGCCAACAGCGAAATCAACAACAACAACAACGACCACGACAACAACAACGATTGGCAATAAGCCAGCTGGAGCAACACCAGCAACTCCAACAAAGCCAGCAACACCAACAACTCCAACAACTCCAACAGCAACTTCAGTTCCAGCTAGCGAGCCGTCTCCTGTGACAGGTACGAATTAGACCAACAAAACAAGAAAAAAACAAAAAAAAAAAAAAAAAAAAAAAAAATATATATATAAACACACACATACAACCAATACAATACAACACACACACACACACACACATACATACAAACATAATATCTATTCTTTTCGGAAATATCTATGTATATGAATGTATCCTTCAGATAACCAATCACAGTATACGTATGCTACTACTAAGCCAGCCGATATATTCTCTTTGCCACCTACCAATCCTACAACACCTACTATTAACAACAACAACAACAACAACAACGAAACTACAACTACAACAACACTAACAACCAAGAACAAGAAACCCTCAACCTCAACCTCAACCTCAAACGACGAATTGTTAACAAAAACCAAGCTGAGCTCAAATGAGGCAACAACAACAACAACAACAACGAGCGCCGTACACGAACCGCCCTGTGTCCGTCGCAATTACTACAAACTGGGCCCAGCCGATGCGACAAGCGAAGTACCGGCTCAGGTGGCCGACATAGCCAAGGCGGTAACAAGTACTGAAACCGTTGGTAAGGCCTAAAAACAAAAAACAAAAAAGTCCCACAAAATACAACAACAACAACACACAAAACAAGAAACAACAACAAAACGTGCAACTTTTTCTTCTGCTCCACAAACAACAATTTTAATATAAACCTACCTTAACTACACATGATAAATACATATATATATATACTATCTATATACTATATATATTTTTTTTGGATCTTTGCTAATAAAAATTATTTAAAACAATATAAAAATATACACAAAAAATAAACAAAAACTGCGAATGTGCTATGTTCTATGTTCTGGAAATACACCCACATACACCCACACACACACACACACCTACATACACACACACGTACAAGTATTTTTGGGTGGGTTAGCCAAACTAACGGTAATACTAAAACATGTAGACACCTCCTATTATTGTCTTACGGAAAAGTCCCGTACCCCGTGCCTATTAACTCCCTAAAAGAACTATATACGCCTGTTACGCCTGCCTGCCTGCCTGACCTAACACGCCTGCTCGCCTGCCTCAATTGCCAAGCTAATACCGTAGAGCTATTAACCTACTACCACCCACTCCAAGCAATGTGGAATAGCCGATGAGTTGATTTCCGCCGTAGCCGTAGCTCTTGCTGTAGTCGTCACTAACAACCTCTGTCTCTCTAATAACGTAGCAAGTTGAGCACAATATCACACCACGCACTCGAACGCAACTGGTCCTTGAGCGTGGCACGATTTAGCTTGTATGCCTATATGACTCCAAAAAGAAAAAAGAAAATAGAAAACCAAACAACCACAAACCCCCCCAATCCCCAGCAGCAGCCATGCCCAGCAAGCGAAGTCCCTATGCACCCAGACCCAGCATCCCGGATGACGACCATGACGATGATGATGTGCCAACTGTAGCCAGGCGTAGCTCCAAATCGCCAAGCATCGAACGACGTCCATTGCAGCGAGAATCCACATTTGAGACAGATGTAGAGCGTGCTTATTCGCCGGAGCGCATTACGCGTATCGATGACCAAATTGTTATCGACGAGAGCAGCTTGGAGGTCAGGCAGCGTCCATTAAAGGGTGGCGATAAGCCCAGAGAGATACCGGCCGCATTTCCGTCGAGGCCCAAAGAATCGCCTCGGCAGAGTCCCGAGAAGCAGTTGCCCTCGAATGTGAAGCAAGCGCCACGCGCTCTTAGCCCCGAGAAGCAACCGGCTGCTCGGCCACGTTCGGTTAGTCCCGAAAAGCAGCTGCCTAGAGAATCGCAGGCTCAGAGCTCTGGAACTCAACTGCCAGGCTCAGTTCCATCAAAGCCGAAAGAATCACCATCGAGGCCAGCGTCTCGTCCAAGTAGCCCCGAAAAGCAAATGCCAGGTAGTGCTCCTGCTGCTAAACCTAAGGACTTGCCACGTCCCGATAATCAATTGCCCTCAACGGTGGTTAGGGATTCGCGTCCTGACAATCAGTTACCCGAAACTCTGAACAGGGAACTTCCTCGTCAGAGTCCGAAAGAAACGCCTCGTTCGGGTAGCCCCGAAAAGCAATTGCCCAGCTCGCCGAAGCCTAAAGGCAATGAGCCCGCTGATAAGCCACGTCAGTCTCCTGATAGACAAGTGCCTGGCTCAGCTCCACTCAAGCCCAGTGGAAAGCCGACCCCCGACGACAAGCAGCAGCCCACTCAGTTCCCAGAGGATGAGTTCTTCAAAAGCACTGTGACCCAACGAGTAACCAATATAACGAACAATTTTAATGACGAATTTATAACAAACGAACGCCAGCATCAGCCGCGTAAGCCGGAGGAAATCCCCGATAAGAAACTGCCCCAGGACAAAGATATGATCGATAGACCTAGCTGTAAGCCAGCTTCATGGGAGTCACCCGAAAGGCCTGATGGTGGCTTCATATCTAAGAGTCCAGAGCCGGAGGAAGATCAGAAGCCCACCTATCGCAAGAAGGGTCTGACTCGTCGCGAGACCTTTGAAGATCGCTGTCGCAAGATCTTGGGCATGGAAGAGGATGGCGATACGCAGGGCAGCTTCGTGCCAAAGCCCGAGGGTGATGATGATGACACTGATGAGCAGAAAACTGAAACGGTAGTTAAGAAGACAGAGACTTTCGAGTTTAAAATCGAGGACTGTCCCGATGACGACGATGAGGACGATAAGCCTAAGCGCGTGACCCAAACGTATGTCATACGCACCCAGCCTGTCATCAAAGTCGATGAGCCATTGTCAGAGCCAGAGACGGTGCAGATCACTGAGACGACGGAAATCGAAACAGTGGTTAGCACAGAGAAAACGGTTGGCGAACGGAAGCCGAACCCTGTGGGTGTAGATGCACCACGCCCTGTCGGAGGCCGTAAGCCTAAAGATGAGGTAGAACCTATTGAGCAGCCAGATCAGAATAAGCCACAGCAAAGAAGCCCCAAAGATGATGCGGAGCTCGTTAATGTGGAAGAGGAGACAACTATGATAACAACGAATCGTACGTCTAAGTCGCCCAAAAGTCCGCTGCCCAAGGATGAGGTAGAGCCACGTCCCACATCTGGTAAATGGCCCAAGGATGAGGTAGAGACACGTCCCAAAAGTGGCAAACAGCCCAAGGATGAAAAACCACAACGTCCCTCGTGTACCAGACTCTCCAAGGACGAGACCGAGCTCATAAATGTAGACGAAGAGACAACAACAATCGTTACGAAGCAGTCAAGCAAGTCGCCAACATTTGCTCGTAAAGCGCCTCTGCCTAGCTCGGAAGACGAGGACGAGCCAATATCGAAGGCTGGTAAGCAGCCTAAGGATAAGACATCGCCACGTTCTACGCCTGGTAAATGGCCCAAGGATGATGCAGAGTACATAAATGTGGAAGAAGAAACAACTATCGTTACCACTCGCCAAGAGCCTTTGCCCGATACAGAGGACGAGGATGAGCCACGTCCAAAAGTCAGTGGAAAACCTAAGGATAAGCATCCCAAGGATGACGCTGAGTTTGTTGATGTTGAAGAAGAAACAACAACTGTCACAACGAAGCGGACATCAAAGACTCCCACTACCACGACTCGCACGCCCGCTCGCAAAGAGCCCATGCCTTATCCAGAGGATGATGACGAACCCAACCAGCCTAAGTCTAGGGAGCCAACGGGTAGACAGCCGACAGATGAATTCAAGCCACGTCCGACACCTAATTATTACTCCAAGGATGTTGAATTTATCAAAGTGAGCGATGACACGACCATAATCATGACAAAGCGTCCTGCCAAGTCACCATCGCCCACACGCAAGGAGTATTCGCCTTACCCAGATGACGAGCCTACAGCTAAGCAGCCCACAGCTGGTAAGCCGTTCAGGGACAACGATTCCCCACGTCGCCCAAAGGATGATAAAGAGCCTCGCACACAACCCAAGCAACCCAAGAATGATGCCGAGTACATTAGCGAGAAGACAACTGTGGTGATAACTAAACGCCCTTCCAAGTCGCCATCGCCCACACGCAAGGAGCCTTTGCCACAAACTGAGACGAAACACTTTGTGACCGAAAAGATAATCGATTGCAATGGCAAGACCGTGTTGGAGAAGGTCAGCAAGACTCAACGACCCACTGGACCCGCCTCGGGCCCCAAGACGAGGAAGCAACCCTGCGATAGCGAACCAGAGGAAGGTAAACCTAAGCAGCCGGACTCCAGAAAACCCTCGACTAGCAAGATCGAAACCGAGCGACGTAATTCACGCACCACTAAGACCAGCACTAGCACCACTAGCACCACCACCAACAAACAACCCGTGAAGGAAACCCAGCCCAAGACAGTCAAGAGTCCACGCAAGGAGTCGCTGCCTAGGCGTGAGCCTGCCAAGCGAGATAGCCTGGTGGAGGAGACACGCACGACAACCTCCACAGCAAGCACAACTATTCGCAAGGATAGGAAGCCCAGTGATGGCAATAACTCACTCAAGGATCGCTTGCGTTCGTCGCCTCGCAAACAGAAACCCCAAACGGACGACGTGGACGGAGAGTCCTCCTCGCCGGATACGAGCCCCACGCGTATTCCCAGCGAGCGTCGTCGCTCGAGCAACATTTCAGTGCACACTGAGATCATCATAGATCATACAGCGCCCAAGACGCCATCACCCAAAACCGAGCGCAAAGTGACGCCCAAGACTGCAGCAAGTCCACTGCGCAAGTTGCCGGTGACGGAGCGCAAGGAATCGGCGCCAGTGCCGCGCGTTACCCGTCGCGACAAGGACAAGGTGACCCGCTCCACCAGCGAGAATGTCATCAAGGTTGTGAATGGCAAACCCAAGCCAGCACAACCCGAGATGAGCAGCTTGAACCCGAACTCTGCTCAGAGACCTAACACGGATCGTAGTCGTCCCAGCAAATGCTTCACCACACGAACCATCAACCTCAGTGAGCAGCTGATCAATAGCGAGGAGATGGAGGATGTCATCATTGATATACAGCAGGCGAAGAGCTCCAGGGAGCCATCACCGGATCGCATTGTTCCGACACCGGTTCCAGCTGAAGTGGAGACGGGCACGCCGCGCTATCCCGACACTGTTCAAGAGCCGGACGATGAGCCGCGCAAGAAACCCATTGTCACGAATATACCCATCTTTAAGGAGGAAGCCAATGCCTATGTGGGCTGCCAGATATCCGAGTTGCGTAATCCGAATGGCATCGAGGCGGACATCCACGACAATCCCACCGTGGAGGCGCCACAGAGTCTGGATTATACCACTGTCAATCCAAGCAATGGTCAGCCTGGCATCGACGTGGACGAGTGCTTGTTGAGTGTGCACGAGAAGGTGACCAAGTTCACGCACACCGCCGAGCAGGTGAAGCAGCCGAAATCCTCGACACCCTTTAGCCGCCAGTTCGATGAGCATGCCAAGGTCTCGGCCAGCGATGAGTGCCTGCTGAGCATTGATGAGAAGGTGGATCGCTTTTTGAAGACAGCCGAGAATATAACCAAGCAGCCGCTGACCACGCCCACGCGCGAAATTGAACGTCCCAGCTTTGAGGACATCGACGAGGAGCTGCGCCAGGACGACTGCATACTGAGCGTTTCGCAGAAGGTGCACAAGTTCATTGACACCGCCGAGAAGCTGGCCCCAAGCGCACCACAAAAGTCACCACGACTGGTGGCCAACATCGAGCGCCACATCTCGCGCCAGAGCGAGCCGGAGCTGGATCAGGAATCGGAGCCGGAGCAGCCCTCCGATGCGGAACCAGATGAGCCATTGGAGTCGAATGACGAGCTATTGCCCATGTCGAAGCACCATACAACAGCCATTGAGCTGAAGCGCCAGCAGGACATACTCAACCGTCCCTCGGTCTTCAATCAGCGCAAGCCAACCACGCCCAACGGCAACAGCAAACCACGCGGCACAACCAGTCCAAGCACCACACTCATAACGGAGGAACGTAAATCGTATCGCCATCAGAATGTTCCAGCCTCGAGTCCGGGTGCACGTTCACCAACACGCAGCACCGCTGCACCACGCAAACCCTCATTGGAGCAACCACGCGGCAAGCCAAGCGAGCCAGAGCGTGGCAGCACCAGCACCACCAAGCGTAGGGAGCATATAACCCAGCAACAGTGGGTGATCAGTGACGTGGACGTGGATGTTGAGGAGGTGGGTCCCGCTCCACCTTCCCACAGCGTCAGCCCGCAGCCAACAGCGCCAGGCCGACGTCCAACCACCAGCAGCACCGCCAACATAACAAAGTCAACTCCACGCAGCTCCACTGCACCACGAAAGCCTTCGCTGGAGTCGCCGCAAAGCAAACCGAGCAGCGATTACCCTAAGGAGACGGAGACAGGCACACGCCGTGCCACCAGCACCACTAGCACCAGAACCACTACCAAGCGTGGTGAGCAGTGGTTGCAGGACGAGCTCGATGTGGATGTCGAGGAGTATGAGCCAGTCAGTCCCAAGGGCACAACTCCAAGCAGACGCACCGCCCCTAGCACTAGCACCACCAACGTAACGAAGTCAGCTCCACGCAGCTCAACTGCACCACGCAAGCCTTCATTGGAGTCGCCGCGTAGCAAACCGAGCAGCGATTACCCTAAGGAAACAGAGACAAGCACACGCCGTGCCACCAGCACCACTAGCACTAAAACCACAATCAAGCGTGCCGAGCAGTGGGTGCACAGTGATCTTGATGTGGATGTCGAGGAGTATGAACCCGTGAGTCCAAAGGGCACATCTCCAAGTAGACGCACCACCGCTGCCACCACAAAGACAACCACACGCGGTGCCTCTGCACCACGCAAGCCCTCGCTCGAGTCGCCACGCTCCAAGCAAAGCCCAACCACCGATTACACTGCAGAGACCGAGACAGATACACGTCGCACCACCAGCACCACCAAGCGTGGTGAAGAGTGGTTGCCAAGTGATGTGGATGAGCTGAACCACAGTCCCAGGCATAGCCACAGTGACAGTCCACGTCAAATGTCGCCACAACGACGCACCGCCACCACCACCAAGCCCGACAGCACCACCAATTCGAAATCCACCGTAGTTAAAGCGAGCACTGAGCACAGCACCACCAAGCATACAACAACAACCACCAATCGAACCCATAGTCCAACTAACCAAGCTCCCCTTGCCAGCTCCCCTGACACTGAACCACACGTTGAACCACTTTTAGACCGCAGCCGCCCCACCCATCAATCATCGCCCGGACGCACCGTCGCCTCACGTCGCAACATCTTTGAAAAGCATTCGCCCAGCCCCACCACCACCACCACCACCACCAGTGCTACCACTGAGCCGAGCGGACGTCGTCCCTCCTACATGGATCACACGAAGAGCTCCCTGGAGCACATTCGTCGCGATTCCCTGGAGATAAACAAGACGCATTATTCCCGTAAGTCCTCGGTGGATGATGAGACAATGCTGGAGCCACGCAACCCGAATGCGGCCGTTAAGTTCGATGTGCCGAAGCGCGGCTCACGGCCCGAGGCGGTGCGCACCACCAACACCGATGAGCTGGAGATTGAGGAGATCTTCGATCTGCAGACGCTGGAGCAGCTGCTGGAGACGGTGAGCAGCTATGAGCTGCGTCGACGCATTCGCGCCCAGATACGTCTGATTAAGAAGAACATGATCAATGCGAACAGCAGCACCACCATCACCACAACCACCATAACGACCAAGGGCAGGCAGTCCGAGCAGCTGCAGCCAAGAAGCCAGAGCTCGACGCCCAGCCGCAGTCCAATGCCAGTGCGACGCATGCCAGAGCTACCACGTGAACGTAGCCAGAGTCCGGAGGCGAAGGGCAGCACCACCACCAGCACCACAACCACTTGTCGTCGCACTGAGCAGCTGGACAGTGGCAAGCCACCGGTGAAGCCTCGGGATCGCAGCGCTAGCCCAGTGCAAACGCGTCGTCGCAGTCCAACGGGCAAGTCCTCGAGCACGACAACGACAACCACCACACGCACCACCAAGCAAGCCAAGGTCAATCCGAACGAGAAGCCAAGTCCCATTTGGGCAGATCGTAGCAAGGTATTGCGAGCTTCTGGCTCACATTCGCCCACCTCGCGCAAGGGTTCCAACACCAGCACCACTAGCAGCAGCAGCAGAGTGATGCGCAGCAGCAACATCACCAGCAGCAGCACCACCACCACTAGCAGCAGCAGCAGCAGCAAGCGACGCGAGGAGGACTCCATTACGTCCAGCTATGGCGTCGGCCCAACCGATGAGAATGGGCTGCCCCTCTTTGGCATTAGGGCGCTCAAGAAGAAGACGCAGCCGCCGGTGGAGCCATGTGAGACAAAGCAAGGTAAGTGATGGAGTGGCTCGGTGGTTGCATAACAAAGTCAAGCTAAGTCGCTCTTGTTCCGCAGAAGTCACAGGCTATGTCATCGAGGAGCAGTTCTATTCGGACGACAAGTCGCCGCCACGTCATGAACGCAAGGAGCTCATCTACTCGAGCAACCCGGATGAGTTGGTAACGCTGCAGCAGCAGCTGGACACCGCCCAGCCGGATGGACAGACGACGAAGCTGGAGCGCGAGGTGAAGCTCATCGATGTGCAGGGCATGCCCGCAGCCATTGAGCCGCCGTCGGGCAAGCGACGTGGCTCGATCAAGGAGCTGAGCGAACGGTTCATACACAAGGAATCGATGCTGGCCGACGAGGAGACGGAGGACAGCGAATCGAACGATGTCTGCAGCGTCATCGAGCTGGAGGCACCGCAGATGCGTCAGCACCAGACCAGCAGCACCACGCGCACCAGCTCCAGCACCCGCTCCTTCCTCAATACCAGCGGCGAGGAGCGAGCTGTGAGCAGCGTCGACGATGTCCTCGAGCGCATGCGCAATGCCGACAATGGTGAGTGCTCCAGCAGTTGGCTTGCCTAGTGGTCGACTGTCTGATCAACGTCTGTTTCTTCTTCTTCGCGCAGTGGTGGAGCCCGGCGACAGCGCCGAGGATCGCGAGGCACGTGCTCTGCTCAACAAATTCCTTGGCGCCAGCGTCATCATGCAGGGCGTCGAGTCCATGTTGCCGGCGGGTCAGCGACAGCAGCAGCTGTCGAGGGGCAACATCAGCAGCAACAGCAACAGCAGCAGCAGCAGCCAAGCGGTAAGTGATCAACCCTCTCAATGGGAGCAATGTCTAGACTACGCGATACCCTGTAATGAAACTTATCAAAGTTGCTTTGCTGCGTAGCCTCAAGGGTGAAGTTAAAGAGCTGCTCGTCTAGTCTCGTCTATGAAAATGTCTATATTATTTATATTCCTGACTACAAAATACCCTGTATACAAATTATTAAAAAATACACATAAGACATGTTTTGTATCGTAGCAACAAATTAGAATGAAATTTAGTTTCAACTATAAGGCATTCTATATTGCTTATGGTCATGAGTCATGACTACTAAATACCCTGTTAAACATGTGCTTACTATAAAACTGACTTTGTGCTTAGTTCTAATTGAAAATGAGGACAAGAAGCAAAGTGGTTGCTATTCTAGACTATTAAATATCTTGTATTGCTGATAGTCTAGACTAGAATATACCCTATACTAAAAACTAGCTTCAAGTAACTATGTACTGCTGTCTCAACTATTAAGTTCCCTGTACTACTCATGTAATTAACAACAAAATACCCTATGCAAAATGCCTTACAGAATATTGAATACCCTGTATTATGTACAGCCTTGACCAGAATACGCTTTTATAGAGTTGTTGAGCCTAACTCAGTTGATTAGCCTCTAATGGAAAGTTGAGTTGATCATTATTTCAAATGGCATTTCCAATAGGCAAATAATTTCCATATACCATCCAGAGTTCATTGTCCTCTCACTTATGCGACTGCCCAACATAATTTGCTAATTAATCACAGGGTATGCCCGAAGCTCAGTTGAGCCCTTTTTGATGGACAGCCACAAAAAGCAGAAAATAAAATCAAAAAAGAAATAAGAGAACAAAATAAACATCAAATGTGCAGGCCCATGGCCCATGGCCCACGGCCCACGACCCACGGCCCACGTGTGCGATCAGCCATTGTCTATGCGCGCTCGCTCTCGCTCTTCCTCCTGCTCCTCTTCGCTCATTCGCTCATTCGCCGTTAGCTTTTGCGCTCACCGCTATGCGCGCGCGCGCTCTCACGCTCTGTTGCCCTCTCTTTTTGCCGCGCTCTCTCTCTCTTTGGGTATGTGTGTGTGTGTGTGTGTGTGCTGCTGCCGCCGCTCTCTTTTAGTGCCGTGTGCCGCGTGCGTGATGTGATGCGCGCTTCTGGCCAGGAACGGGAATCAGCCGTCGCTTTGGCCATTGCCATCAACGCTGCCAGCGTCGCTGCCAACGTCGCCGTCAACAGCTGCCATCGTCATCGTCTGTTGGCCATTTCAGTACAAACTCAGAGGCGGCATCGATCACTTGTGCGACTTGTGTTCCCGATCATAAAAACAAAAACAAACCACGACGAGACGAGACGAGACCGAGACACACCGACGAGGCGTGAGGAGAGAGAGAGGCTAGAGAACTCACCAAATTCTCAAAGTGCAAACAAAATTTTTATAAAATCTAAAACTCAATGCAAGCAAATCAATTTACTAAATAAAAATAAATAAATAATACAAAAATAAAACAAGAGAAGCAGAGAAGCAACCAAAGAAGGCAACAAAAGACAAGTTTTTGTTGTTGTTGTTGTTGTTATTTATGAATCTTCTGCAACTAGCTCTTCCTCTTGCTCAGCAACTCGTTGTTGTTGTTCTTCTTGTGTGCAGTTGAGTTTTTTTTCCGTTTTATTTTTTTTTTCACAAACGTTGTTGTTGTTTTTATTACGACTACTATTATTATTACTATTGTCGTTGTTGTTGTAATGCGGTGAACGGTTGCAGTCGAAACGCGAGTGTTTAACCAACTTTGGTCAAAGCGGCTAAAAGAAGAAGAAGAAGCAGCAGCAGCAGCAACGGCAGCAGCAGCAGCAGCAGCAGCAGCAGCGGCGGCAGTGGCAGCGACAGCAAACAGCGCGTAAGTGTGAAAGGGTATGGGGCAAGAGAATGAAGCAGAACATGACGCGGGAACAGCGGGAGACAGAGGGAGATAGAGTATGTCTTGTCTTTAGCCTGGCTAAATTCATTGGAATTGGCAGCTGTTGAAGAAAATTAGAAAAAAGAATTAAAGAAAAATAGAACAAAAATTGAAAAAGATGAGAAAATCTAATTTGAAAATAGTACGAAGAAAAATTAAAAAAAAATAAATAAATAAAATAAATGAGAAAATCAAATTTGTAAAAATATTAAAAAAAAAAATCATAAATATTTATTGAAAAATAAAACATTTAAACGCAATTTAAGATTTAGGAAAAGTACGAAAAAATAAAAGAATAAATAAATTGAAAAAAATATGGAAAATGTATAGAGAAATATTGATAAAATGCTTGGAAATATAGAAAAAAGAGTATTTAATTTAATGATAGAAAATGAATGGACTTTGATGAAGAAAAATAGATAGAAAACTAAAAAATACCCTGTAATTTTTAAGCCTGAGCCCATTGAAAATAAAAGGCTCGATATCATTCTAGCAGTTAAGTTACCTAGATATCTTCTAAGAATTTATCGAATGTCATTTCTACGGCTCGTAGAAACTTGGCTCAGCATATATAGTGTTTTCTACTATTTATACTAGAAACGGCAGATTTTGAATATGCACTCGGGTTGACAGCCTAAAATCAATATAATATTTTTGATATACATATATCTAAATCCATGGGGGGGCGTGTCAAACCGGTGAAACTATCTGACAGTGCATAAGCCGTGAATGAGTATTCGGCAGTCGGTAACGCCCGACTGCAGTGCTCCTACTTGCTTTTTTTAAATTATTTTTTCAATATTTTTCTTTTCAATTATTTTTGGTGCGCATAATTTGTGGCAAGAATTTGCTGTCACGACACCTCAAAATGCACCTGAAAAGCAAAATGTGAACGACAAGCGTTGTCTATATTAATAAACACACACACATACATGGACATGTATATAGTGTATATATATATAAGAGACAGCTAAAGATATAGCTAGAAAGGCTAGAAAAGCCAAGCATTTGCCCAGCCTGACAAAGTGACAAAATAAAAAAATAAAAATAAAAAGAATAAACACAGAATAAAACAAGACAAACTAAATGAAAATAGAAATAAATAAATAAATTTCAAAGCACAAGCAGGTGGAGCTGTGGGACGCAAGCAGGACGGTGGGTGGGGGGCAGGGGCTGAAGCTGCATGAATGAGAGCGCAAGCGTACGGAATATTTCAACAAAAATAGCGCAACGATGGCACTATTTATACGGACGGAACGCTGTCTCTTTTGTTGGAGCGCCCAGTGGCCAGATACAGATACAGATACAGTCAAAGATACAGATACAGCTACAGCTATAGAGATTCGAGATAGAGCTAAAGATACACACAGCCACAGGCTGATACATAGATACGGCTGCAAATGGACTGTGCACATTGCACCGTGCGTGCCGCAGTGGCCTCTTTTTTATTTTCTGTTCAACTTGTGCACCAAATACCATCCATGCTTTATATGTAGAGTGTAGCACGCGTCACACTACTAAATGCCTGACATAGCCGCAAAGTATCTAAGTGCAGGACATAAGCTGCGGATCTGCAAGTTTGCTTACAACTAAACATCAAAAAGATACAAAGTATGCGCAAGTAGTGCTAATCCATCTAGCATCTACTGTGCTATAAAGTATGTACATACCAAAAACTATCTTGAATATATCATGGCAACAAGCTCTTCCAAAGTATCTGCAACGGCAGTAATCTAATGGAATCTGGTTAAGCATTACAGAGTTACTTGTATCTGCTGTGCGTAAACGTATCTAAAGGTAGCAAGAATCTGACTGAGCTGAACTCTGCTGTGTTTCGCAGTCTGCAGGCAACATCTAGACGACCAAACCGAAAAGTATCTCAATCTGATTTACTACAAGTTAGCTGAAAGTGCTTGTAGATTAATTAAGATACCAGCGAACATTGTATCGCGGTCTGCTTTATATAAATGCCGCATACAATGTATCCATGTGTCATAGTTACAAACACCCACAAGCTGGCTACAAAGTATCTCAATCTGCTTAACCAAGTATCTGTGGCAGCTAGCCAGAAAGCAAATCAAAAAGTTGCTCAAGGTGCTTCAGATTTGTAAATTTCTTTGTATTACGCATGTTAGATACATGTATCTAAATGGTGTGCATCAAAGTATCTCAAGCAGTTTATCACGATGCATCTTTCATTTAGATAGATAGATTGGAGCAGCAACTCATAACTGCTTTAGATACAAAAGTATCTCAATCTAATAGCTATAGAGGTAGACATTGAATAATGTATCTTGCACACTTTGAGATACAAAAGTATCTGAAGGCAATGAAGTTGAATGTAATGTATCTCAAAATCCTTTCCAGATACAGACATAATGTATCTCAATCTGCAATAGATACAAACACTTGCAGATTATTCCAAAAGTATCTCATAGCTATAATTCTCTACAAAGTATCTCGACAGCTCAATGCAGTAAATTGCTGTTAGATAATGGCTCTCGCACTCTTCTCGAGATGCAAGTACAATGTATCTCAATGTTTTATACACACTAAAGAAGTATCTTAACCTAAAATTGCAACAAGTGGATATCTTAGATATTGTATCTGTTACTCTTATAGATACAGATACAATGTATCTCAATCTTTGAGAGACACAAATACATATCTCTCCACTGATAGATAAACCCCTTTCCCATCTAACGTTTTCTCTCTGTTTTTATTGGGAAATGTTAAATGCAATTTGTTTTTGTTTGATGTTTTGTTGTTGTTGCGCCGTTTTGGTTCATGGTTCGGTTCCGAACCGGTTCTCCTTTAATTGCTTGTGCGAGTCATTCGAGCGCAACATGTTTATAATAATATATTTTTTTGCAGCAGCAGCGGCAGCGGCAGAGGCAGCGGCAGCGGCAGCGGCAGCTACTGTTTCGCTGTCGTCGCTGGCTTCCTCCAGCCCCATTTCCCCACAATTTCTAGTAAAAAGTATAAAGAGAAGCATGTAGAGGGAGAAGGCGAAATAGGCGAAGAGGCAGAAGAAGCAGTAGTTGTAGT